ATTGAGAAAGATCTCACTTTCAAGTGGATAATTGATAGATGGGTTATTGATTTGTGGGAAACAAAAAAAAATTACAGAATCGTTTCTTACCTCGACGTTATCGTCGCGGTTCTCATGGAATGATCGCTACCGAGGGTGAAGAGATGAAAATGTTGGAACATAATGGAATCAGTTCTGCATACAAGGATTTCACACAAGTAGGGTTTCAACATTCTTCTTTCTAGACATTTTTATCCTTTGAAAAGAAAAAAATCTTTTTTCTTTCTGTTAGGCGGACCTTGTCGACCCAGCCGTTCGTGCATTTGAGGAGCATCGACAGGAATTTATTGAATTGATGAGAGAAATCCGAAAAAAGAACCCGCTTATCTCGCCCGTAGATTTGCAAAAACAAGCTGAATATGAAATGATTACTAGGTGAGGAAAATTTTTCGAAAAAAAATCATTTTTTTTTCTCAGAGAAACGATCACTTTAGGTTTCATATGTCTCAAGCATGTGGTTCCTTTTGTAAGAACTGTAATTGAATCCCTTTTTAACTGTTTATTGAGCTTCTACTATTTCCAGAGGACCCAAATCTCGAGCATTCTATCGTGTCCAAGCTACCCGACGTCTCATTGGAGGTGGTGACATTGTGAAGAAGAGAATCGACAAAGAACACAATAAAGTTATTGATGCGGTAAGTGACTATGTACATTTTCCCACTTTTCTCCCTCTCATCATCTTAACAGTCTTTTGTGCACCTAAAAATTCGACAAGATCTCAAGAATCTTCAAACGAAGCCGACGACAGGTTTTTTGTTTGAATAATGTATTTTTAGAAGTGACCGAAATACAAGATTTCGAATTTTATAACAGGACCAACAAAAACCTAAAACCTTTTTTGTTAGTCCTGTTATAAAATTTTCAATATTCTGCTATTTTCGCTAAATACGAGAATTTAACGGTTTTTATCAGATCTTTTGCTTGTATAATGACAGCTACGGTAGAACTACGGTTAAAAGACACATCTATATATGCGAAAATGGTTTCGATGGACATTTTCAGGAAGCGTAGGCTTACATTCGCAAAGAGTTCTTAACAAGCGCTAAATGGCAGTCACTGTACAA